AAAAGCCAGAAGTGGTGCTGTGGCTCAAGTGGTAGAGCACTAGCCTTGAGCTGAAGAGCTGAGGGACAGCGCCCAGGCCCAGAGTTCAGGCCCTATGACCGGACCCAAAAAAAAAAAAAATCTTACAGACTCTTCTGCCCATGCTGGCTTTGAATTGCAATCCTCAGATCTCAGCCTCCTGAGTAGTCAGGACTACAGATATAACCATCGGCCCAGCAGAAACACTGAGCATCTACTGTGAACAAGGCATGCTTTGGTGCTGAAAAATATTAGGAGATGAGAGAGAGTCCTTGTTCCCATGGACTTTACATTGTAGCTGGCAAGATAAACAAAAAACTACCAAATAAATGAATAAGCTTAACAATATCAGGAAATGATATATGAAGGAAAAAATAAAGCAAGAGGATGGAATGGTTTTGCATTGTAGAAAAGGACCTGGGTCTCTGTCAGGAGATAATATGTGAGCAGAGGAGTGAGGACAAAAAAAAGGAGTGAGCCAAGTGTCCCTCTGGCAGAAGAACATTGTAGGTAGAAATTTCTAGAATGGCAAGTGCAAAGGCCTCAAAGGGGGTTGTGCTTGGTATGTTTAAGAAACACCAAAGATGTCAAGGGAGCTAGAGCAGAAAAGGAGAATGGTGGGAAAAGAGGGTGGGAAGGTGGCTGGGAATTGGGATCCTACCTGATCTACACCTGATAAGGACTTACTATCTGAGTGATCTTCCATTTTCTTTCTCTCCCCACCACCCCTTTTTTTTTTTTGTTTGGTCAGTCATGGGGATTGAACTCAGCCTGGGCACTGACCCTGAGCTCTTCAGCTCAAACCAGCAAGCACTCTACCCCTTGAGCCACAGTACCACTTCTGGTTTTCTGGTGGTTAATTGGAGATAGGAGTCTCCCAGACTTTCCTGCCCAAGCTGAGTTTAAACCACAATCCTCAGCCTCCTGAGTAGCTAGGATTACAGATGCCCGTCTTCCTGAGCTTTTCTTTCCTTTCTTTTTTTCTCCTCCTCTTCTTCTTCTTCTTCCTCCTCCTCCTTTTTTTTTTTTTTGGGTCCGGTCTTGGGGCCTGAACTCTGGGCCTGGGCGCTGTCCCTCAGCCCTTCAGCTCAAGGCTAGCGCTCTACCACTTGAGCCACAGTGCCACATCTGGCTTTTTTCTTTTTGCTTATGTGGTGCTGAGGAATTGAACCCAGGGCCTCAGGCATGCAAGGCAAGCACTCTACCACTGAGCCATCTTCCCAGCCCCTTCTAATTTTTTTTTCTTTTTTTTTTGTGGTCTTGGGGCCTGAACTCTGGGTCTGGGCACTGTCCCTTAGCTCTTCAGTGAAAGGCTAGCACTCTACCACTTGAGCCACAGCACCACTTCCACTTTCTGGTAGTTTATTGGAGATGAGAATCTCACGGACAGCCTGTGCTGACTTTGAACTGTGATCCTCAGATTTCAGCCTCCTGAGTAGGTAGGATTACAGGCATGAGCCACAGATGCCTGGCTTGAGCTGTTTTTTAACTCAAGGCTAGCACTCAGCCACTTGAGCCACAGTTCTAGTTCTGGCTTTATGGGTGGTTAATTGGAGACAAGATTCTCACGGACTTTCCTGCTTGGGCTGGCTTCAAACCGTAATCCTCAGTTCTGTCTCCTAAGTAGCTAGGATTACAGGTGTGAGCCACCAGCCTCCGGCTGCCTTTTTTTTTTTTGTGAAATATAGCAAGTAAAGGATTTTGTTGTTGTTTACAGTTATTCCTTTTTTTTTTTTTGGGTCCGGTCATGGGGCCTGAACTCTGGGCCTGGGCGCTGTCCCTCAGCTTCTACCACTTGAGCCACAGCACCACTTCCGGCTTTTTATTTTTTGCTTACATGGTGCTGGAGAATCGAACCCAGGGCCTCATGCATGCAAGGCAAGCACTCTACCACTGAGCCACCTTCCCAGCCCAGGATTTTGTTGTTGTTGTTGAGCTCTTCAGGTCAAGGCTAGTGCTCTACCACTTGAGCCACAGCGCCATTTCTGGCTTTTTCTGCTTACATGGTGTTGAGGAATCGAACCTAGGGCCTCATGCATGCAAGACAAGCACTCTATCACTGAGCCACCTTCCCAGCCCCAAGTAAAGGATTTTTGGGATCACTCAATGTGCTAGGTAAAAAGTTGAGCACAGTACTGGCTACATGGCTGGTACTTTGTACGGGTTTGTTTCATGAAATCCCACCTGTCAGGCTGACCACCTTCTCTCGTGCCCCAGGATGAAGGCTCCTTCCACCTCAAAGACACGGCCAAGGCGCTACTGAGGAGCCTGGGCAGCCAGGCTGGCCCTGCCCTTGGTTGGAGGGATACCTGGGCCTTCGTGGGACGAAAAGGAGGTACCGCCACCAGAGGCTGTCCACCTTGTAGTATCAAGGAAGGAGTAGACCCCAGGGGTGGGCTGGGGTGAGGCCATGTAGGAGCTAGTGGCAAAGGAGTAAATGGCAATAAGGAGGGAGATGGAAAGAAGCCCCTATCCTGGAGCCTGAGCCCCTCATTATCCCTCATTCCTGCCTCCCTGCCAGGTCCTGTTCTTGGGGAGAAACATTCTAAGTCGCCTGCCCTCTCCTCCTGGGGAGAGCCGGTCCTGCTCAAAACTGATGTACCCCTGAGCTCAGCTGAAGGTGAGCCTGGGGAGGGCTGGATTCTGGGGCAGATCCTGGACAGGGGGGTAGCCACCCGAACGTTCTTCCTGGAGTTTTATTCCTTTAATTGTATGTGGGGGTGAGATTTTCACACCAAGGTAGCCTCATGCTTCCATCCTGTCAACCCCATCATCAACTCCCTCAGAGGCAGAGTGCCACTGGGCAGACACAGAGTTGAACCGCCGCCGCCGGCGCTTCTGCAGCAAAGTTGAAGGCTATGGGAGTGTGTGCAGCTGCAAGGACCCCACTCCCATTGAGTTCAGCCCTGACCCGGTGAGTTAAGGCCTTAAGGAGGTTTGGACTCCCTCCAGCTTAGCAAGGCACCCTGGGGGCAGTCTGTCATGGGCTTTTTTTCTATCCTGGCTTGGGAAGATACTAGAAACTGCAGATTGTACTTTGAGCTCCGAAAGACAAGGTTTAGGAGAGAGGTAGACTGTGTGAGCGAGGCCTAGGGTTGGAGCAGGGCTGAGTATGTGCAGATACTAGCACAGGAACCGTGCTGTACCCATTCCCTGTCTATTTGGAGTCCTTCCCACAGCAAGAGCTCCTCCCTAAGGTAGGATCCCGGGTTGGAGGGGGACTAAGGCTAGTGCTAAAAGCTGTTTCTCACACAGCTCCCAGACAATAAGGTCCTCAACGTACCTGTGGCTGTCATTGCAGGGAACCGACCCAATTACCTGTACAGGTAAGCATGGAACAGGGAAATGCCTAGCAAGTGGGAGGATGCGTAGCTCATCTTCCTGCAAGAGGAACTTGAGCTGGGCAGAAAGGCAGCAGCTATGAGGCCCATTTTTCTTTGTGGATGAGCATGGAGAATTCATGCCCATTTATAAATTAGTTGGGGCTGGGTGCCAGTGGCTTGTGCTTGTAATCCTAGCCAGCTACTCAAAAGGCTGAGATCTGAGGATCTTGGATCAAAGCCAACCTGGGCAGGGAAATCTGTGAGGCTCTTCTTTGCAACTACCAAAAAGCCAGAAGTGAAACTGTGGTTCAAGTGGTAGAGCACAAAAGCTCAGGTGATAGCACCCAGGCACTGAGTTCAAGCCTAGGTTCAGCACGCGCGCACAAACAAGCACACACAATAGTAATAATAAATATAAATAAATAAATAATAGGTTAGTTGGGTGGACAGAGGCTCTAACCCTTCCCTGGACCTCCCAGGATGCTGCGCTCTCTGCTCTCAGCCCAGGGGGTGTCTCCACAGATGATCACAGTCTTCATCGACGGCTACTATGAGGTAAGTGTGGCTTTGGTGGGCACCTAGGGCAGAGCAGAGCACAAGGTATGGCACTGAGCAGCAGTGATTGCTGAGGACCAGTAAGGGTGACAGCTTGGGCAAGGGTATGAAATAAGAAGGGCTTGGCATTTGGGGATCTGCAGAGGTGGATGGGAAGGTGGCCGGCCACGCATGATGACCAGCGGATATGTCCCCAGGAACCAATGGATGTGGTGGCGCTGTTTGGTCTGAGGGGCATCCAACACACTCCCATCAGCATCAAGAATGCCCGTGTGTCTCAGGTAACAGACTGGCAAAGAGAGAAGGGACAGACGTGGGCCCCAGCCTCTGCCCCAAATCTCATGTGCCCTGTTCCCACTCCCCACCCAGCACTACAAGGCCAGCCTCACTGCCACATTCAACTTGTTTCCGGTGAGTACTTGCAATAGAATTCTTGGGCCAGGGAGCAGAAACATTGGCATAAGTTCTGTTACGTAGCAGGCTCTCCCTCACCTTATCCTCCTGATCTGGAAAACTGGGATATGGAAGAGGCCTCAGAGACTCTTGATGTCCCCTCATCCCCCATATAGGACGCCAAGTTTGCTGTGGTTTTGGAAGAGGACCTGGACATTGCTGTAGATTTTTTCAGGTGAGGGGCCCACCACTGTGTGCCTGTCAGCCAAGTGGAGCAGCTCTGCTTGACTACATCTCCAGGGAAGAAGGTGGGGAGAGGTGGTTTGGAGAGCTCAAAAAGTGGGGGAAAAGCCCAAACACAGGTAGGAGAGCAGGTGCTGGAGGCTATAGGTATAGAAGGTAGAAAGAATGCATGGAGATGGTGGGGATTTGGGGAGAGGTGGCATGGCTCCTAAGCCCCTGCTCGAGCTCTTTTAGCATCTTTTAGCACCTTTTTTTTTTTTTTGTCGGTCATGGAGCTTGAACTCTGGGCCTGGGTGCTGTCCCTGAGCTCTTCAGCTCAAGGCGAGCACTCTACCACTTGAGCCACAGCGCCACTTCCTTTTTCTGTGTATATGGTGCTGAGGAATCGAACCCAGGGCCTCATGCATGCGAGGCAAGCACTCTACCACTGAGCCACCTTCCCAGCCCCCCTCTGACCTCTTGAACCCCGACTCTCTCAGTTTCCTGAGTCAATCCATCCACCTGCTTGAGGAGGATGACAGTCTGTACTGCATCTCTGCCTGGAATGACCAGGTAGGCTGGGCAGCCAGGCGTTAGTGGGGAGATAGTTGGTGGAGGCCCAGAGCTAAGGCCTCCCACAATGACCTATGATCCTGTCCCCAGGGATATGAACACACAGCTGAGGATCCAGCTCTGCTGTACCGTGTAGAGACCATGCCTGGCCTGGGCTGGGTACTCAGGAAATCTTTATATAAGGAGGAGCTTGAACCCAAGTGGCCTACACCAGAAAAGGTAACCAGCAGGGTCGGGGGAAGGGGCAGGAGTCCTCGATCAGCTCAGAACTTTTAACCTTCATAATCTGTGCCCCTCAGCTTTGGGACTGGGACATGTGGATGCGGATGCCCGAGCAACGCCGGGGTCGAGAGTGCATAATCCCAGATGTTTCCCGATCCTATCACTTTGGCATTGTGGGCCTCAACATGAATGGCTACTTCCATGTGAGTAGAGCACTGTGTGGTACAGGGGTCAGTGAGAGGCGTTCTAGAGCTGTCCCAGTTCTGTCATTTACTATCCATGTCAGCTTAGGGAATTTTTTATGGTTTTGCCTCTTTTTGATCTATACAGTTTTTTTTGGTGCCAGTTCTGGGGCTTGAACTCAGAACCTACGCACTGTCTCTGAACTTTTGTGCTCAAGGCTAGCACTCCATCACTTGAACCACCATTCTACTTTCTGTTTTTTTGGTGGTTAATTGGAGATAAGAGTCTTATAGACTTTCCTGCCTGGGCTGGCTTCTTACTGTGATTCTTAGATCTCAGCTTCCTGAGTACTAGGATTATAGGAGTGAGCCACCACAACAAAACAGCTTCTCTTTTTTTTTTTTAATCTGTTAGGGGAAAAAAAATATTTCCTAGGGCTGGGAATGTGGTTAGTGGTAGAGTGCTTGCCTAGCATGCATGAAGCCCTGGGTTCGATTCCTCAGTACCACATAAACAGAAAAAGCCACAAGTGGTATTGTGGCTCTAGTGGTAGAGTGCTAGCCTTGAGCAAAAAGAAGCTGTAAGACAGTGCTCAGGCTCTGAGTTCAAGCCCCGGGACTGGCAGCAATACTACCCACTAAGGGTTGAGCATGGTGGGGACCACCTCAGCACTTGAGAGCCTGAAGTAAGGTGTACTTTGAGTTTGAGTCCAAGTGGACTACATAAAAAGACCTGTTTCAGAGCTGGGAAGGTGGCTCAGTGGTACAGTGCTTGCCTTGCATGCATAAGGCCCTGGGTTCAATTCCTCAGAGCCACATTAGCAGAAAAGGCTGGAAGGGGCACTGTGAGCCACAGTGCCATTTCTGGTTTTCTGGTGGTTAATTAGAGATAAGAGTCTTATGGACATTCCTGCCTGGGCTGGCTTTGAACTGCAATCCTCAGATCTCAGCCTCTTGAGTAACTAGAAGTGAACCACCAGCACCCAGCTTTATTATTTCTATTCTTTTTTTTTTTTTTGTCAGTCGTGTGGCTTGAACTCTGGGTCTGGGCGCTGTCCCTGAGCACTTTAGCTCAAGGGTAGCACTCTACCACTTGAGGCACAGCACCACTTCTGGCTTTTTCTGTTTATGTGGTGCTAAGGAATCGAACCCAGGGCCTC